GATCTCATTCTCCCATACTCAGTTATGCCCAAAGCAAGAGCAAAAAAAAAAAGTCCATATTTCCCATATTTACTGGTACATTGTCTGAATTAAGTTCAAAATACCGTTCTTACTTACCGTCTGGCAGTCCCAGTTGCTTAAGGCAGATGGCCACGCTGCCCACACCTTAGTCGCATGCAGGGCTATTTTGGGGCAGGAACGCACAGGAACGGAGTTCCGGCTGGCTCCAGAGTTGGCCACACCCACTACAGCCCTGTGGTCCATCTGGTCCAGCATCCTATCTCACACAGTGGCCATCCAGGAAACAGAGTCCAAGGCCTTCCCCCAGTAAGAACATAAGAAGAGCCCTGTCGTGGCCCTGTCGAAGCTGCATCTGTCTCTTGTGTGGCTGATGTGGTCAAAAAGGTGCCAAAAGTAACTCTCTTCCTTGACGGTCGCTGTTCAGTTGGTCCCCCTGTAACTGTCCAGCAACATTTTTAGGAAGGTACACATTCTCTGTTGAGGACCTGCCCAGTGTCAATCATACTCAAGCTTCCAGGTGTGTGACACAGTAGGAAGGGGTTGTTTCTTAGGGACTGAGTGGTCTTGATTGGGGTTGGGGTGCCTGTGCTTGAGATGGAGGAGGGTGGGATATTCTGGGTGGACCAGGAACCATCCCTAATGTGGTGGCCATGGACACCCTTGTGCCTGCTATTCTCTTTCCTGGTGCAGAGGTCCATCAGTGGCTATTAGCCACAAGGTTAGATAGGAACTCTCTGTCTGGGGCAAGTGATGCTCTGTATTCTTGGTGCTTGGGGGGGGGCACTGCTGGACCTCCTGATGGCACCTGGTATTATTGGCCTCTATGTGACAGAGTGTTGGACTTGATGGGACATTGGCCTGATTCAACATTGGCTTCTCTTATGTTCTTAAGAGCCCTGCCTGGATCGGACCAGGGGTCCATCTAGTCCAGCATCCCGGCTCACACAGTGGCCAGCCAGTTCCGCTGGAGGGCCGACAACAGGGCAGAGAGGCCGAGGCCTTCCCCTGATAAGAGCATCAGAAGAGCCCTGCTGGATCAGACCAGTGGTCCATCTAGTCCAGCATCCCGGCTCACACAATCAGTTCCTTTGGACACCCAACAACAGGGCGGAGAGGCCGAGGCCTTCCCCTGGTGTTGCCTCCTGGCTCTGCGGGATCAAGAGGTTTAGGGCCTCTGGATGTGGAGGTTCCCCTCAGTCACCATGGCCAGGAGCCACTGACAGACTCGCCCTCCATGAATCTATCTAATCCCCTTTTCAAACTGTTTATTCCGGGGGCCATGACGACATCCTCTAGCAGCAAATCCCTCATTTCCGCGATTTCCTTTTGTCCGTCCCGAATCTACTGCCCATCCACTCCCTCCGACGCCCTCGAGTTCTAGTATTTTGGCAGAGGGAGGGAAAATTTCCCTTTGTCAACTCTCTGCCCCTCATGCAAAATTTTATACTGTCTGAAGTTTGACTCTCGAAAGCTCCTTCCTCAAAAAAAAATCTTGTTGGTCTCTCAGTTGCCACTGGACCCCAATCCGACTGTTCTATTGCAGGCCGACATTTCTACCCTCTGAAGCTGTCCTTTGTTTCCTGTGGCTGACACTTGAGACTGGTTTGGACATAGCAAGAGAATGAGGTGACCAAGGCCTAAGACAATAGAATGGACTTTGGCACTTCAGAGTACTGTGCGTAATCACATCTTTAGACCGTGGTGTGATAAGAGTAACAAGCCAGCACAGCAAGCAACGAGGGAAGTTAGAATTTCTCTCCCTGTTCCCTTGTTTTCTGTTTGAACAGAATCGTTTTAATTATGAAAGGAATATCTGGCGCTGGAATCTCATCACCTTCGTTCTGGTGGGGTACAGCCTGTTCTGTAGGGTTCTCAAGCTCCAGCAACGAGGGAAGTTAGAACTTCTCTCTATGTTCCACTTGTTTTCTATCTGAAAGGAAGATCCGGCGCTGGAATCTCATCACCTTCGTTCTGGTGTGGTACAGTCTGTTCTGTAGGGTTCTCAAGTTCCAGCAGCGAGGGAACATAGAATTTCTGTGTTCCACTTAAGAACATAAGAGATGCCAAGGTTGGATCAGGCCAAAGGCCCATCCAGTCCAACACTGTCACACAGTAGCCAAAAATACCAGATGCCATCAGGAGGTCCACCAGTGGGAATTTCTCTCTGTGTTCCGCTTGTTTTCTATCTGAAAGAAAGATCCGGTGCTGGAATCTCATCACCTTCGTTCTGGTGTGCTACAGTCTATTCGGTTCAGTTTATTATATCAATTTATGATGTTACGGTCTACGGCCAGATCCAGTTGACAAAAACAAGCCTCATTCAGGTATGCCGATACGCAAGTTAAAAACGGCAATTAAAATATAGAAATAAAAATTTAACAAAAAACCTGAAATCAAATACATAACAGAGCATCCTAGATTTCCAGTTTTTAAGATTCAAGGGGATTAAAAGGAATGTGAGCTGTCTAGTTAGACCTCCTGAAGGAAAATAGATCCAGTTGGTCAGCCGTGTTGGTCTGAAGCAGTACAACAGATTTATCACATGCCCACGAAAGCTCACACCTTGAATAACCCTTTGTTGGTCTTAAAGGTGCCATTGGACTCTAAATCTGTTGTACTCCTGAAGGAAACTAAGTCAAAGCTCAAAGGGGCAGGACTGAAATTTACAATGCATTTTAATTTGCCTGAGCGCAAAATCTAGCTCAGTGGTGGCGAACCTATGGCACGGGGGCCAGAGGTGGCACTCAGAGCCCTCTCTGTGGGCACGTGTGCCATCGCCCCAGCCAGGCCCAGACCATCATTAAAGTGTCGAATTCTCTGCCAAATAATTTTAAGTAAACGAAAGCCTTTGGGATTGCTTTCCTTACTTTGTTTGGATCATCTTAAGTTAATGTATGGGTTGTTTTTTTCTAAAGTAAAACCTGAGTATTCAGGTTAAATTGCCGTGTTGGCACTTTGCGATAAATATGTGGGTTTGGGGTCGCAGTTTGGGCACTCGGTCTCTAAAAGGTTCACCATCACTGATCTAGCTGTTAGCTTAGTATTAAATGACTAACAGACGAAATTTCAGTTATCTAAACGTGTCTTGTCCCACCCCTACCACAGATCTGTCTACGGGGGGGGGGGGGGGGGAATTGTCTTATCTCAGATTCGTTTATCGAGGGGGCAACGGGGGGAAAAACATGTCCCATTGTCTCCACCTTTGGGGGAGGCAAGGGCAAATCCGCTCTGAGCATGCAATCTTCTTATATCTCCCTTCCAAGATCATGGATGGCATGGCATTACATCTGGCCAATGTAAAAGCCCTCCCGTAAGGGGGGGAATCTAGAGTTTTAAGATATTGGGCCACTGACATGATGTATTTCGTCTTCTCGGGGGCCCTGAAGCCAGGAGTCTTCATTAAGTCCTGCTGGCGTTCCATGTCACAGACAGTCTGTTCATAGGGTTGCCAGCCTCCAGGCAACACCATGCACAAAATGTTTAAAGGTAAAGGTTTTCATTTGCTCGAAAGCCAGTCGAACCCGACTCTAGGGGGCGGTGCTCATCTCCGTTTCCAAGCCGAAGAGCCAGCACTGTCTGAAGACGTTTCCATGGTCCTGTGGCCGGCATGACTAGACGCCCAAGGCGCACGGAACGCTGTCACCTTCCCACCGAAGTGGTACCTATTTATCTACTTGCAGTTTCTTGCTTTCGAACTGCTAGGTTGGCACGAGCTGGGGCCAGAGACGGGAGCTCACTCCATCATGCGGCACTCGGATCTTGAACTGCCGAGCTACCGACCTTCCGGGCTGCAGCTCAACGTCTTAACCACTAAGCCACCGCAGCCCTAGTTATTAGAATTTACTATAATATGGCATATGATGTTCCAACAACGTATTTCTAGCAAGAACCAAATTTCCTACCCTCCACAAATCCCTTCTTGTATGTAATACATAATCTTATAATCCAGAGGTCCCCAACGTGGTGCCCATGGGCATGATGCTGCCTACCAAGACCTTTTCTGGCACTCGCCAAGTGTTTTTAGGAAGTGGGCGGGGCCAGGCAGGGCTTTCGCCCCGCAGTTCTTCTGACTGACTCTTAGAGATTTGATTGGTTGTGACGATTTTTTAAAATGTTGCTTTGGCAGCAACTGCCACCAAAGCACAAGGATCTGTGTTACTGAAGTTAAGCCGTGTCAGTCATTTTGCGGCTGGCTCCGCCTCCTGCAGCAGCCATTTTGCCACTGTGCCCACCCTGCCGTATCAGAGTTGTGTGCCCGCAGGCTCAAAAAGATTGGGGACCCCCTGTTATAATTGCTCACCCCCCAGGGGTCATTTCGTAGAAAAAGAAGTGCAGGAGTTCATTAGCACAACTTATTAGCATAACTCATTTGCATATGCCACACCCTCTGACATCACCGGAAGTGTGTCAGAAGGCAACACCCACCACTCAGGCTCCATGGGACTGTTTTGGATTGCTAGCTATTTGGGGGGGGGAACGTGCAGATCTGTCCTCGCATAGGAGGGAGAGCTTGTGCCTGAATAAAACCTGGTCTTAAAGGTGCCACTGGACTGTTTTGGGCCGGGGGGAGCTCTGCAACTTACCTGGCTGCTTCTTGCTCTAACTGAGGGCTGCTGGGAGCAGGGGGTGGGGCTTGTTGCATGTGTCCGGCCCCTGGGCTCTTTACTGCCGGAGCTTTGCTCCTGTGCGCTCCTGTAGGAAATGACCCCTGCTCACCCCAAGTGCAAATTCCACAATGGAAAAAGTCCACAGTGTATAGCTCAGTTTGTGCTTTTCCTGGTGTCAACCACTCCTCTGTTTGGTGCTAATTGCCTCTGTCCCTTGCATACTTGGAGCAGAAATCATGACCAAACTGGTAGCCATTACTGGCTTCAAACTTCTGCCATCCAGCTTTATGTAACATGCAAAATCTGTTGAAACTAAGTGAAAGCAAGTGTATTAAGAACATTCTAACAAGCAGATTTTTTAAAAAAACTTACCTTGTTTTTAATTAGGCCTTCAAGATTTTTTAGCCTAACTGCTGTAGCCTTCTTGAGTGAAGTTAATCTCTTGTTTTGAACAGCCCGGAAGAAGGGATCTGCGTTATCTCGCTCGTGTTTAATTTTAGGCCGCTGACTCAAATGTCTTCGTGCTGCGTGTCTCAAAACAAGTGTAACGAATACCTGGTTTTGAGAAAGGCAAGCCTTTGGTGGCCAATTTTGAAAAGTGAGCAGATATCCACGCTTTTCCGGCACGCTATTTCATCTCTGTCTACGATTAGGCCTTTAATGGTTGGGGCGCCCAATTACTCTTTGTGTTTTCTATCTCACAATCAGCCTTTGAGCTCCCCAGGTACTATGTCTATTCGGTACAGGTCCCGGACTGTTGGCTGATCTTGTTAGATGATTATCTGAAGGGAGAAACTTGAGTTATATTTTATGAAGTCTCCAAGCATTTCAGCTTCTATTTTAACCACAGCCATCTTACCCATATCCGCAATTGAGTCGTTCCTGAACAATCTCGCTAAGCTTAGGAAGATGTAGAATAGAGGAGGAGGAGGAGGAGGTTGGATTTCTACCCTGCACTTTACTTGGAGTCTCAGAGCGGCTTACAAACTCCTTTCCCTTCCCCTCCCCACAACAGACACCCTGTGAGGTAGGCGGAGCTGAGAGAGCTCTTGACAGAACTGCCCTTTCAAGGACAGCTCTCACAGAACTATGGCTTGCCCAAGGTCATCCAGCAGCTGCAAGTGGAGGAGTGGGGATTCAAACCTGGTTCTCCCAGATTAGAGTTTGCACACTTAACCACTACACCAAACGGGTGAATAGTTGTAACTGCACTACACTGGCTCTTAGCCAAAAGGTGCTTGGTGGAGTGGTAAAATACAGGCCTGTGACATTGGGGCCATTAAAATTATAGACGGAACAAAAAGCAAGTCAAATAAGGTCTGGGTGTCTCAGTTACTTCCTGGTAGGGCCCCCACGCCTGACCTGGGTAGCCCAGGCTAGCCAGATCTTGCCAGATCTTGAAGGTTATCAGCAGGGGTAATTTCATAGAAAAAGAGGTGCAGGAGCTCATTAGCATACCTTATTTGCATATGCCACACCCCCTGACTTCACCGGAAGTGTGTCAGAAGGCAACACCCACCGCTGAGGCTCCACTGGACTGTTTTGGATTGCTAGCTATTGGGGGGGGGGACGAGCAGATCTGTCCTCGCAGAGGAGGGAGAGCGTGTACCTGAATAAAACATGGTCTTAAAGGTGCCACCGGATTGTTTTGGCCTGGGCTCTGCAACTTACCTGGCTGCTTCTTGCTCTGACTGAGGGCTGCTGGGAGCAGGGGGTGGGGCTTGTTTCATGTGCCCGCCCCCTGGGCTCTTTACTGCTGGAGCTCCGCTCCTGCAGGAAAAGACCCCTGGTTATCAGAGTCAGCCCTGGCTAGTATTTGGATGGGAGACCACCAAAGATTATTTATTTATTTGATTTTTAAATTGACCGTCCCTGCTGCTGCAGGGCTCTGGGCAATGTACAACAGCGGATAAAACATAAATACAGTTACAATACACCAATAAATAAAGCTAAAACTCCAGACGGCGAACTAAAATCACTCTCCGTTCCAGGTTGCCAGCTAGAGTGAAAACCAGGATAACTAATACCAGGATCATGACATGGAGGCAGGCGATGGCAAACGACCTCTGAACCTCTCTTGCCCTGAAAACTCCACTAGGGGTCACCATAGGCAAAAAAAAGGTCTGCCAACCCCCCTCCAGGAATTCCCCCCCCCCTTTCCACCAATCAGCTACGCAGTGGGGGGGGACTTAATCAGCAACAGGGGAGGCCTAGCCCAGTATGACAGTGATGTTTCACTTCTAGTGCATGCAGGAAGTGATATTAAGAAAATTAATAAATTTTATTGAATAAAAATAAAACATTATATAAATATATAAAACATATATAAATATAAAACATTTATATAAATATAAAACTAATGCCCTCTGGCCGTGAAAGCCTTTGACAAAATATAAAACTATCGACATAGTGAATCCCAAAGAATACAAACCATTTAACATTGATAATATCCTTGATATTCTATTAAGTATATCTATCTAAAACTTAACTAATTAAAAATCTTATCAGGTTTTCTAATAATACAGTTGGGTTAGCAACCACCTTGTATAAACGAAAGAATTTGAGTTCAGCTAGCTAATATTTATTGATCAAAATTAAAACATACTCTAAATCTGGGGTTTATAGAATATAAGTGATGACATTGTGTTACCGGGCCGGGCCTTCCCCTGCGGCCAGTAAGGCCTCCCCCACTCCCTGCAAGTTACTGGGGGGGGAGGACTGGCAACCCTACGTCCTGGCTGTCTAGATGGCTTTCTGTTGGAGGCCAGCAGAACTCTGGTTTCCTAAAGCCGGCTCTAATAACTGGCCAAGACACATTAATCATTATAAACCTTCACCATACAGTAATGACTTCATAAGTGCTTTACTCAGTCTATAACAAGAGAGAATATGTTGCTTGGGGCTCTGTACTAATGTCTACCAATGTCTTTTTTTCTTGCAGTCTGAACCAATCAAAGTCCTGGTGACCGGAGCCGCCGGGCAGATCGCCTACTCTCTGCTCTACAGCATTGCCAAGGGTGATGTTTTTGGCAAAGATCAGGTAATAGATAATGGGAATTATATTATACCCATAAAACTATACCCATAAATAGTAATTGTTGTTGGTATCAGACCTCCAAAGCAAGAATAAAGCTCCATTGACTCCCAACTCGGCTTGGGTTTTGTAAAGTGGTGCGGAATATTGCATTATGGGAAATCCGGTTCCCATTACAACATACCCTGCAGAGCCTGTTTCTGGTAGGTAAAGGGAAAGGTTTCCCTTGCTTGAAACCAGTTGAATCCGACTCTAGGGGGCAGTGCTCATCTCTGTTTCCAAGCCAAAGAGCCAACGCTGTCTGAAGACTTTTCTGTGGTCATGTGGCCGGCATGACTAAACGCCAAGGTGCACAGAACACCATTACCTTCCCACCGAAGCAGTACCTATTTATCTACTTGCAGTTTCTTGCTTTCGAACTGCTAGGTTGGCAGGAGCTGGGGCCAGAGACAGGAGCTCACTCCTTCACACAGCACTCGGGTCTCGAACTGCAGAGCTACCGACCTTCTGGTCTGCAGTCCAGCATCTTAACCTCTGTTTCTGTTACAGAACTGTAAAACAGAATCTGACCGCTTGCACATTTGTTCTGTCCATTTGTCTGGCGATGCATCAGTTCTAACGTCTCTGGAAATCGTTTTGCAGATAGTTTTTTTTAACAGTATTAACTGTTCTTACTGTATTACTGACTTTTAACAGTCATCTGCCACCTTGAGCCTCTATGGGAAAAGTGGATTATAAATGAAGCAAATCTGGGGGGTTTTTTATTACAGGGCAACAAAATTTAATCTGCCTGGTTCTGATCGACGTTTGCTCGACTAATTTTACACAACTTTAATATGTTTTTTTTCATAGCCTCTGGTTCTTGTGCTCTTGGATATCACTCCGATGATGACCGTGTTGGATGGTGTACTGATGGAACTCCAAGATTGCGCTCTTCCACTGTTAAGAGGTGACCCCTCATAAAAACACTTAACTTTTGGTTCAGTACAGACGAGCAGTGTGGTCTGCAGATGTTGAGACTGGAGGTCTACTGGGGCAGTGCAAGATACTTGATGGCTAGGCTTGCATTATAGTTCAGTATTTGTGGGTATAGGTTGGGGGTTACAATGCATAAGGAGTGCTTTTGCCTGGCTTTGGCTGTCGTGGCAGCTGCATCCCTTCCTGCGTTGCAGCTCTAGTTACTGCGATCCATGCTGTAGTTCCCTCTAGACTGGACTACTGCAATGCGCTCTACTTGGGGCTACCCTTGAAGAGTGTTTGGAGGCTGCAGCTAGTGCAGAATGCTGAGGCTAGACTGCTGGTCAGGGCAAGCTGTAGGGAACATGTGACCCTGATATACAGCAATTACACTGGCAACCGATCCACTCTCAACCCAAATTCAAAGTGTTGATTTTGACCTTTAAAGTCCTACATGGCTTGGGACCAGGGTGTCTGAAGGCCCATCTTCTCCCGTATGTTCCTGCCTGGGAATTAAGATCACAAGAAGAGGCCCTCCGGACCGTCCCATCAATCCAAAAAGCTCATGTGGTGGGTGCACGAGACAGGGCCTTTTCAGTGGCAGCGCCACAATTATGGAACTGCCTCCCCAGGGGTGTGCATCTGGCCCCCTGACTTCCAGTCTTGAGGAGGCAGCTGAAGACAGTTTTATTTAGGACTGCATCTGATTAAAACAGTCCTTAAATTGTGATTTTAAATTTTGTTCATGTATTTTTATGTAATCTATTCTATGTATTTTATTTAAATTGTAAGCGGCTACAAGCTCCGTAAGGAAGAAAGGCAGTGAATTAATGTTTTAAATAAAATAGTAAGGAACTGAGTGCCAAGCTAAATGCCCATCAGCTAAGACCAACTTGTGGCAGGTTCTGTCCATAAAGGTAGCAGAAAGGGGCTTCAAATGTATGGCTGTGTCATGGCTCAGGTGGGGTGTCACCTTACGCTGCCACCACTCTGGTTTTAGGACCCCTTGAGAAGGCCCAGAGCACCCTCCCAAGACCTTCAGACCTCCCGAATAATAGGCGTGAGGACCAGGCAGAGTAAACAACAAATAAGAGGTTTATTTTTATAGGAGGTCTCAAATATGTGAAACAAACAAGGTGCAAGAGCAAGAGCAATAAGTGGGTGAAGAGAAAAGAAACCAAGTGCCCTAACGCAACTAGACTCACAGTCCATAGTCCACTGTCTCAGTGGGGCCTGAGTCTACTCACCCTTCCTCTCAGGGTGAGGGTCTCTCCCAGCAGCAGCCTTCCCTCTGGCCCTGCTCTCTTGGAAGAAAGAACAGCTTTTCTTCTGTACCAGCTCTTTTATTATAAGTCCCCTTTCTCTGTGATTGGATAAAATTGGTGCCAAAACCTCTCAGGGACTTCTGGAAGTTGTAGGCCTGGCCTCCTCTCACTGCTACTCAGGCTCCCTGGGCCCGCTAGGCCTTTACTTGCACAGCCCAGATCATGACAGGCTGTATAAATGGAGTTTGTTCAGCAATGTGCTTGTACAGTTTTGCAAAAAGGAGCAAAGAATGCCTGTAGAAATGTGGATCCCGCTGATTCAAGTAACTGAAGTAACTCAAGTAACTGTTAACTTGGGTGTGCTACAATTAATTTTGGAGGTGCTCTGCATTCGGTTCCACTAAGCAAATAAAGTAGCTGCTGAATCATGATTTCGGGATTAGAGATGGCTACCAGCTGCATTTTTGTGGTTTGGTTCGTGGCTGAACTGCGAACTGAACCGGTTTGTGGCAGCTTGTGAGCCATTTAAAATTTAAACCCCTGCTTTCTGCTCCCCACGAAAAACCATGGGGAGCAGAAAGCAGGGGTTTCAGTGGCTGAGGGCCATTTAAACCCGTTTTCTGCTCTGTGTGAACGGCATCGAAATTTCTGGAAGTTCATAGCAGCTCTTCAGTTCACGAACATTGCTTTGTGAATCACGAGCCAGCCAAAATTCGTGACGAACTTTAGTTCATCAGCAGCTACATGCCCATCCCTATTCAGGAACCTTGAACGAAAGAAGGAGAAGGGGGTATTAGGCTGGATCCAGTGATGCCCTTCCGCTTACAGACAGAGTGTTCTGCACGCGGAAAGGCAGTTCTACATTTCTCACTAGAGCAAAAGTAGAACTAAATCCAGAGATGCTATTCTGTTTGTCCTACCCACCTTTTGGACTAGCAGGAGCCCAAAAACTGTTACAGAAATGAACTGCTGTAGAACTTGTACAATGCAATCCTGAGAGCATTTCTCAGAAGTGAGCCCCATTGAATAGACCTGAGCAAGATTCTGAGTAGACTTGTTGGCCATGGCACTATAAGAATCCTGAGTGAGTTGTTAAACCTTTGTGGAGTAGTACTAGCATCCAGGGCTTTTTTGGTAGAAAAAGCCCAGCAGGAACTCATTAGCATAATAGGCCACACCCAACAACAGAAACTCATTAGCATATCCAGCCACACCCATGAGAGCATAGCTCATTAGCCTATTAGGCCGCACCCCCATGTTATCAGAAGTGTGGTCATCCAGCCACACCCACCTTTTGCTTCTTATCCTGTTTACCTTGTTTGTTGTCCAAACCCAGGGCTTTTTTGTAGCAGGAACTCCTTTGCATGTTAGGCCACACACCCCTAATGTAGCCAGTCCTAATGAGTGTCTGCTGTTGGGTGTGGCCTATTATGCTAATGAGTTCCTGCTGGGCATGGCCAACTTGGGGGCCAGCCGGAACTCCGTTCCTGTCCATTCCTACCCCAAAATAGCCCTGCTAGCAGCAGTTTTGCTACAACATGTGTCTCTTTAGAGCTAACCTGCTGTATTTATGCTTTACAGCAGGGATCCGCAAAGCAGTGCCTGTGGGCGCTAGGGCACCCACCAAGTGTTTTTAGGAAGTGGATGGGACCAGGCGGGGATTTTGCCCAGCAAGGCTTCTAATTGCCCACCGAAGATTTGATTGGCAGTGCAGATGTTTAGAAATGTTGTTTCGGCAGCAGCTGCCACCACAGCACAAGGGCCTTCACGGTGTGACCGAAGGCAGGCTGGATCAGCGATTGCTGCAGGCATTTTGTGGCTGAGTCCACCACACTGTGTCAAATTCCAAAGGTGCCTGTGACAACCTCCTATTGTGGAGGACTAGGTTTCTCTTTAAATTATATTGGGTGTTTATAAAATAGGTAGTTCTGGCTGCCACCAGGAATTTTCTTAATTCCAAATCCACTCTTATCTTCTTATGTTGGTATTGTGACTCAGGGTCTAGGCTTTCAAGGGTCTCTGTGATCCTGAGGAATAATTGATATGACTTCTGGGGTTAACTTAAATAAGAGAGGGTTTATTGAAAGGGGAACGAAATAAGAGGTTGGTTATTATGTAACTGGTTGGGAATAAGGTTCCTGTAAATGAGCTTGTCAACTGTATCACTTTAATACACATATACTGATCATTCTCAGATCCCAAACAGATTCTTTCAGCTCTCTCACTGACTGAATTTCCACTGAACAACTTCAACTGCTTTTTTCCAACTGTCTCTCCTAACTGACTGACTGACACTCACACAGATCCACTTTAAAAACTCCTCCCACACTCTCTCATCCTCCAATCACAGCACACTTGTCTCTCTCAATCACTCTAGTCTGCTTATCCCCACACTTCAACCAAGCATTTAAAGGCACACACACTCTTGTAAAACAAGGAATCGTTACAGTGCCCAGCAGGCTCAAAAAGGTTGGGGAGTCCCGGTCTAGAGCATCTTAAGATTTAGATTAGGTCAAATAATTGAAGCTAACTTTGCTTTAGTACAACTTAAGTGCTATCCTCCTTTTCCAAAGGCAACAGGCCTTTCTTGGCAAAGAGAAATAAAACTTGTCTATCGTTTACTTTTTAAATTGTGGATCGCCACACATCTGACTCGCGTGGGGATTCATTCTGAGATCTGTCCTTGGAATGCCACTGTCGTTCTGCTTCCTAATGCCGTTGTTGAGGTCCTCTCTGTTTCTGCTTTGCAGAGGTCATCGCGACAGACAAAGAAGATGTGGCGTTTAAGAACCTCGACGTGGCCATTCTGGTTGGCTCCATGCCAAGGAAAGAGGGCATGGAACGGAAAGATTTACTCAAGGCCAATGTGAAAATCTTCAAGTCCCAAGGCGCAGCACTGGACAAGTATGCTAAGAAAACTGTTAAGGTGAGTAAGTTCGGGGTATAACCAGGGGTCATTTCCTGCAGGAGCACACAGGAGCAGAGTTCCGGCAGTAAGGAGCCCTGGGGGCGGGCACATGCAACAAGCCCCACCCCCTGCTCCCAGCAGCCCTCAGTTGGGCCACGAGGAGCAAGAAGCAGCCAGGTAAGTTGCAGAGGCTCCCCCCCGCCCGCCTTCAGGTACAAGCTCTCCCTCCTCTGTGAGGACAGATCTGCATGTTCCCCCCCCCCCCAATAGCTAGCAATCCAAACCAGTCCAGTGGAGCCTGAGTGGTGAGTGTTGCCTTCTGAAACACATCCAGTGATGTCAGGGGGCGTGGAATATGCAAATAAGTTATGTTTTCTATGTTTCGTTTTCTATGAAATGACCCCTGGCAATCGCTGTCCTGAACCAAACACCTGGCAGAACATCTCTGCCTTACATGCCCTGTGGAAAGATAACAAGTCCCACAGAGCATGGATGTTACCTGGCAGAGAATTCCACCAGGCAAGGGCCAGGGCAGAAAAGGCCCCAGCCCTGGTTGAAGTCAGCCGGACCTCTCTTATTCCGGTTTTGGGCCAATTGCCTATTTAACGGTTGCAATTTGTGTGCCATTAAAGAAGCTTCGTCGATTGATTTTTTCCAAAAGACAGCGTACATACCTTTAACGTCCTTCTCCCACCCTTCCGCAGGTCATTGTGGTAGGCAATCCAGCAAATACCAACTGTTTGACTGCATCAAAATCCGCCCCGTCCATCCCAAAAGAGAACTTCAGTTGTCTGACTCGCCTGGACCACAACAGAGCGAAATCCCAGGTACAGGCCGGTGTCCCATGCCTAAGCTTTTGTTGTGTGTGATCTAGAACAGACTGTATCCCTCTACACCAGGGGTGTCAAACATGCGGCCCAGGGGCCAGATGAGCCCCCCCCCCCCACCGGAGGGCTTCTATCAGGCCCGCAGTGGAACTGGGCTGTCTTCTGCTTCTTCTTCCAGTTCTGCTGCTGCTGCGTCATCGTAGCTTTGCAGGTTACAGATACACACCCGAACAGCATACTCAAGACTGCAACAGCACAGACATTTTGATGCAATAATTCAGAGCAAGAGGTGTCAGTTATCAGACACTGTTAAATAAATAAAACATTGCAAGAGTCCTAATGTCTTAACTATGTTTTTATTTTAAGTTAAAAAAATACCCATTTGTGTTTGTGTCCTTTATAAAGTTTCTATCTCCGCTACCTGGCATTACATTTTATGACACATATGGCTCGGCCCAACAAGGTCTCATTTATGTCAGATCCGGCCCTCCTAACAAATGAGTTCGACACCCCTGCTCTACGCCGTGTCTCGGAAATGGCAAGGCTGAGAGGTGCAACCCTTTCTTTCTCTCTTCCCCCCACACTTTCCGCTGGTCTAGATTGCTCTGAAAGTCGGCGTGACCGCCAGCGATGTAAAGAACTGCATCATCTGGGGGAATCACTCTTCCACCCAATATCCCGATGTCAACCATGCCAAGGTCAAAGTGAAGGGCAAAGAGGTCGGCGTCTATGAAGCTGTGAAGGATGACAACTGGCTCAAGGGGGACTTCATTGCGGTGAGTTGTCGTTCTGGGCATTCCCACCCGTGCGCCGTAACGCGGCTGTGTGACAGGAGGAGCAACTATCGCAGAGCGAGAGGTGTTTCATGCTGGCTCACACTCATTGCTCACACTCATCTTAGTGTTACATCCCCACATCATGAGAATCTCGTACATGACAAGTAAAGAAGTCTCAGAGCGGCCTACAATCTCCTTCCCCTTTCCCTCCCCACAACAGACACCCTGAGAGGCAGGCGGGGCTGAGAGAACTCTCTCGAGGACTGTCCTTGAGAGAGCAGCTCTGAGAGAACTTTGTTGTTGTTGATGTTTTAAATCCCCAGAGGGATATTTTTAATTTTGCAATGGACTACAAAACTACAAAGAAATATTAGGAAAGGGACTACAACTAGGGATAAAGAAAAGAAACCACACTAAACTAAAACCCCAAGAGAAGGAGATCTTTTCACTGTTAGTAAAAACAAGAAAGGGGACCCGCGAAAATCGCGGGGGGAGGAGCGGGGGAGCTCCACACAGAGCAGGAGAGGAGGAAGAAGCAGGTAAGCTTCCCCCCCATCCCGTCGGTTCCCCGTCTCCTCCACACACACCCCTCCACTACCATCCCCCGGCTCGCCGCCCCCCCAGTCTCTCTCCCCCC